AGATTCCAAGAGTGCTCAGTATTGATATCTTTTGCACTCATTAAATCTTACAACGTTTTACAACAAACAACAATTACATTTGCTTTTTGTTTCAGCCGAACACTTACCATCTAAGCATTCTTATGTTACCTATCTTGGAGTTGATGCAGAGCAAGGAGTTTTGTCAGAAAATCAATCGATGGTTCAATCAAGTTAGTGTGCCAAGAAAGGCTGCCTGCATTTTCTGCCCACAAAGCAATAATGTTGAGATTATTGAACAAATCCCGAAGAAGTTCAACAACTGAAGCACGCGGAGCTGTCAGATAATGGTACCCTGTGGAGGTGATAAAGTGACAAGGGCTCTGAGGCGCCTAATGTGCTGCCAACAACAAGTAAACATGCCATTCTTGAAGATGGCCTCTAGAAATTGTTCAGAAGTAGCTTTAAAAGTTACTTAGTTTAACATGCACACACATGCTTATTGGCATCACAGGTCTGTTAAAACATCAGTTAAAACATCTAATATAGTCATATAATCCCACCGGAAATCATTAAAGAAATGTCAAATAGTTTAAGAGACAACAAAAAGCTTTATTTGGTTCTAACCTCATAAATTTAAAATGGTTCTGCTGTTAAGGCTTTAAATGCCCCTTAGACAAATGAGACTGAGGCTGAGCAACAAACACTCCAGCTGCAAAAAAACAAGAATTAAATATGTGAGGAAAACATCACAGGCCCGCTATAATACATTATGGAGAAGATGTGATTTTTTTAAGCCACAGGTTCCCAAAATAGAGGTTAGAACCTACCCCATGAAGTCACCAAACACCAAGTGGGGTATCCCGGAGGTATATGAGGGGCATCAATATAATATTTAATACATAAATGTGAATGTCCCAAGACATAAATGAATGCACCATGAAATTAGCAGATGTTAAATGCATTAATTTATCCAATATCAATCCATTTTCTTTGGCTTTTCCTTCAAGCTCACAGTAGGGCTGTTGCCTATCTCCAGTGGCTTATGGTTAAAAGACATTGTAAACCCTGGACAGGTCACCACACATAGGTACTCTGCTGTATAAGTCCCCCCAGTGCTAATTCTACATCAGGCTATCTCTGAGTTTCAATCTGCACATACAGAGGGAGTTTTCATCCTTGCTGGGGATTTTAACCAGGCTAATTTGAAGACTGTGCTTCCTCATTTTTATCAACATATGGACTAAGCAACTCAGGGACATAACACTCTAGACTTATCCACTGCCTGTCCTCTGACCACCGATACATCAGCGTCTGGGGCTCTGTGCGGCAACCGCTGCCTTCCGTTGTCAGTCAACCGGCTGGAACAATCCTCATCCTCTTGGCTCACATTGAACTATAAGACCAGGTTAGTGACTCCCACGTTTATAATCATCCACTTCCAGAAACACATGGTCAGTAACCTGTTGTCTCCTCCTGCAGAAGTTCCTGCCTTAGACACCCACGCTGTTCACTTTGGTTCAGTTTCCAATAAACCTGTTTAGAAACATGTTTGTCCGACTCAAATACTGGATCCTACTGTTCTGAGCTTGAAAGAGATGCAATGTGGCATTGTCCAAACTTATGTCGGTCAAATGCAAATGATAAAAAATAACTCTGGTATTGTTAGCATTCCTGTGTTTACTTTTTAGGTTCCAATCCACTAAGACTTAACTGCATCATCAACCCAGTATGGTTTACACAGGTGAAAAAATTAGCTGTGTTCAAACGTCCAATCTGACCCTTTAATGTATTCAAACATAAGGGATGCATTCAGGTCAGGCCCCTGCCCCCACCTTGGATAGTTAGATCTGTCATGCTAATTCCTGCATATAGGCCGCAGCTCATCAGGACTAAACAGTAAAGCAGGTCAGGGTGTGGATGGAGGGGGCCATGCAGACACTCCAGGACTGTTTTGAATGCTCTGACTGGAACATGTTCAAAGCTGCAGCAACCTTTGATAACAATATCAATATCGATGGGTGTGCCATGAATGCGTCTGCCTACATCAGCAAATGCATTAACGACGTCAGCACCACAAAGAACACCGTCATCCAACCAACGACCCTGGATGACTGGGGAGGATCGGAAATCCCTAAAAACACAGAACTCAGCCTTGAAGTCTAATGATAGTGAGGCAGACATGTGCAATGTGGAGTCAAGAAGTCATCTCCATGTCATGTATTTGTTCTACCCAGCCACTGAAGCAGGTGAGTCCAATCTTCACCATGAATTAACCTGTGCAGATTGGACTCACCTGGTTAATTGGCTTGGTAGATTAAATACATAACATGGAGATGACTTGTTGACTCCACATTGCCCGTGTCTGTAGTGAGGCACTGAGGACAGTGCGAGCCAGCTTGAACCGTGCCATCAGATCAGTGAAGCAGAACAACAGCCACAAGATCCAGGATCTCCTCCATGATGTGAGCAACACCAGGAGGATGTGGCAAGGTATACAGGGAATCACAGATTACAAAACACCCTAACCCTCGGTGGGCGTAGCTGATTTGAGTTCCTAAATGGACTAAACAACTTATTTGGAAGGTTTGATGCACTAAACACCACTCCAGCAGTGAAAGCTGTTCCACATCATGGAGAGGAGGAACTTTTCCTTGCCACAGCTGACATGTGGAAGACTCTGAGGAGAGTCAACCCAAGAAAGGCACCAGGCCCCGATAACATTCCTGGTCGGGTGTTCAAGGAGTGTGCAGGTCAACTGACTGGTGTCCTCACAGACATTTCTAACACCTTGCTGGACCGAGTCATAGTGCCAGCATGGTTTAAGTCTGCCTCAATCATTCTGGTCCCAAAGAAGCCTCAGGTCACCTCATTCAATGACCACTGGCCTGTCACACTGACTCCCATTGTGATGACATGCTTTAAAAGGCTGGTAAAAGAACACATCGTCTCCAGTCTCCTCCCAACATTCGACCCGTTCCAGTTCGCCTACCAACGGACCTGTTCCACTGAGGACAGCATCTCCTCTAATCTTCACCTAAGCCCATCACACATGAAGGAGAAGAACACCCACATGTGGATGCTGTTGCGGGCCTTCAGTTCAGCTTTCAACACCATCATCCTACAGCATTTGATAGGAAAACTGGAACATCTGGGCTTCAATACACCTCTTTGCAATTGGCTGTTAGACTTACTCACAAACAGACCTCAGTCCGGCAGGGTTTGAAAGAACACCTCTGATGTAATCACCCTGAGCACAGGCTCCCATCCTAAGAACCCTGCTGTTCACTCTGATGACACAAGACTGCACTCCCAGGTCCACCACCAATCACATCGTGAGGTTTGCAGATGACACCACGGTGATGGGCCTCATCAGAGAAGACAATGACTTGGACTACAGAGAGGAAGTGGAGCAGCTGCTGGGCTGGTGCAGAGAAAACAGCCTGATCCTGAACATGGAGAAGACAAAATAGATCATCTTCAACTTGAGGACGAACAGACCTAACCACACTCCACTGATCATCAACAGCTTAGCTGTAGAGGTGGTTAGCAGTACCAAATTCCTTTGGGTGCGCATCACAAAGAACCTCACCTGGAATATGAACATTTCCACACAGGTAAAAAGGGCACAAAAGCGCTTGTATTTACTGCGAAAAATGAGGAGAGCCCACCTGTACCCACCCATCCTCACAAACCTCTATAGAAGCAGCATAGAGAGCATTCTGACCAGCTGTCTCACTGTGTGGTGTGGAGACTGCATCATCTCAGACTGTAAGAACCAGAGAAGAGTGTAGGAGTGTTGGCCTAATGGTTTAAAGCAGTGCACTTGTGCTCTGAGAAGGTTGCAAGTACTCGGTTCGCCTCCATTCTGGGTTCCTGAGCAAAACCCTTAAGCCCACACTGCTTCCCTTATCCCTCTTACAATGAAACACTTTTTGCACCTATTTACAGTTGATCTTGGACTTTTTTTTTTACATAACTACTCTTGGAGCTCCATACTTGCTCGCCTCCATTGCTTTTCCTTGCTGACCATCTGTACACATGTGCAGTGACATAATCTGCTAATGTTCTTATGGTAGATATATACAGAAAGGATATATTTACTAACAAAGTGACGAAAAGCAAAGCACTAAGGACAAAAATCACAAACACTAGGCCAGCAGGAAGCTAACCTCGTGAGACCATCCTGATCTCGCGAGCTTTCAAGATTTCACTCGCTAATCAGTCTGGAGACTCTCCGTTGAAGAAAATTTGGAGCCGTTCACCAAACGAACGTCCAATCAGCATTGGATTTGAGGCGGGTTGAGGTGTGACGCAACGAGAAGCGTGACAGTTCAGTCTAAACAACATGTCGGCTTCAGTCGATGAAACTAGCGTTAGCGTGGCTATCGAGCAAGTTTTATCGGAATTACAGAGTATTTCTTTACTGAAAGAAGAGCAAAACACTGCTCTGGAGGCTTTTCTCAGAGGAAAAGATGTTTTTGCTCTTCTCCCAACTGGTTTCGGCAAGAGTTTGATCTATCAATTGGCTCCTCTTCGTCGTCGCTCTGTTAGTACGTCATATGCTTCGTTGATCTGATTGGTTTATTTGGCCCGTCTATCACCAACATAGGCCAATCAGCTAACCAGTATTTTCGCCCCTTCCCAAAATTACTTCTACGGAAGGTTTCCAGATGGATATGCGGAGCAAATCCATCTGGCGGAGTCAGGTTAGCAGGAAGCTGCAATTTGTCATAAAAATGTTAATTGCAACCAGAGTGAGTTACTGATGCATACATTTAAAGATTGCTAAGTAACTTGGCTATATATCCTTTAAAACAATGGGTTGGGAAATATTTTATTATAATGTGTTCATTTATGAAATTAATAAATCCACAGGGGAGAAATCCTGCCAATCTTCCTAAGGTGTACCCTGCCTCTGATCCAGCGACCGTTGCAAATAGGCAGCAGCTCACCCCCACCCCCAAACATCCATGAGAAGAGAAGCAAGTATAGACAATCAATACTTCTGAAAGACAGAACAGGAAAAAGATGATTCTTACACTTGTTGCGTACTCGATGTCCCTCCATATGTTTGTCTCCCTCGAAAGATCAGATGTCTCGAACAAGTTCTCCAGCACGACTTCCCCAATCATATCATGCCGAGAAAATCTGTCAAAGTCAAAGACGCTCATGTGGAGCTTCCTCACAGGCAGCTCGTCGTAAGGCACGGGAAACTGGAAGCTTTCGTTAAACGTGGGGTTGAGCGTCTTCCGGTGGACACGGGTCTGGAACTTCTTGCGATCAGGTAGGAGGTAGACCTTGACGTAAGGGTCAGAGGTACCGCACAGGTCCTTGGCTGGTAGGTCTACTGCCCTGAGAATATTGACGATTAATGCCTCGTTTTCATAGTCGTACTTGAGTGAGATGTTAATCCTGCCACAGTTTTTCTCTTTGCCATTCTTGGACGACTCCTCTGAGTCTGAGGCCTTCTGTTGGTAGAGCTCTGGTTGGATGCGACCCAGGCTGGTTGGCTTTTCGTCTCTGTCCACCATGTAGTCATTGCCCAAATCTAAACTGCCCACCTGCATCTGCCTGGGGAGGTGTCTTTTGAAAGAGTTGTGCCTAAAGAGAACAAAACGAGTAAAAAGCTTATAAGAGGATGTAGGGAAAATCTGTGGGATTTTTTTAATGAACAAACTCAGACAGACAAGTGTTGACAAAGGGCAGAGGACCGATTTTCACTCCTAGCAACAGACCTGACAACACAGATATCTTGCAGAGAAAGAACATCTAAATACACTAGCCAATTAGAAATTATATAAACATAATTTTTGAATTTAATCACATAGAGCAGAGATTTTAGTAAAGCAGATTACTTTGAGCTCATGGTGAACTGTGTTGCTGACTTCTTTAATGAATAGAAACTAAGGTGTGGTTGAAAGTAGCAAAACATTGTTTCTCTGAGTGCATACAAACCTCATGTAAAAATAGGTACATGTGAATATGAAACGTCTGTTTTAAATAAGACCCTTTATGAAACAAAGACCCTTTATGACACAAACACAGTTTTAATAGTATAAGCAGCTCCTTTGGGACACAAAAAAGGGCATCATCTGTTCCAACTACCATCTCTACAGTCACAGTAAAGAGATGTTGCATTATAGGCCCGCCTCCCATGATGAAATTGGTCCGGTCTGTTTGAGGCAGGAGAGTGTTGAGCCATGCCAAACTTACGTACCCTTGTACGTCAGTGTGGCTGGCCTGGCCACTGATATGCTGTGAGTGAAACTGGCATACAGAGCAAAGAGGATGGATATTGAACACAAACAGTCATATTTCTCCTTAAAGGAATAGTACACCCAAAACATGATTAGCCTTCATTTTCTACTCACCCCCATGCTGAACAACACTCTGGAGTACTTTTTTGATATCTCAAATGCATCTGGAGATCTGGGAGGCTTCTTGCTGTCTGCTGACATTCAAATAATGGAGGTGCCCAGCGCCCGAGGCAGAAAAGTCCATAAAAGTCCACAAAAAACGTTTCAATATTCCTCCATACTGCTCGTCCAATGTATTCCAAGTTTCCTGAGTGGGTAGCATCCAGAATTTACTCGAAACTAAGTCATTTAGAATGTTTTTAGAGCATAAACAGTAGTGTATAGGATTTCCTGAAAGCGCGCACATGCACGATCACGACGCTACGGAAGATGGCAGACCAAACCAGATGAAAGTGCGCATTCAGCTCGGCAAAGAACTCATGCTCTTCCTCAACACTGAAGTCCTCAGACATTTTTCTTTCGTTGTTTCTTTCTTTGCACAGGTAAACGGCACATTTCTTCTTCTACGCTTGCATTATTGGAAGAGCAGACGCTGAATGCGCACTTTCATCCGGCTTGGTCTGCCGGCTTCCGTAGCGTCGTGAACGCGCATGTGCGCGCTTTCAGGAAATCCTATACACTACTGTTTATGCTCTAAAAACATTCTAAATGACTTCGTTTCGAGTAAATTCTGGATGCTACCCACTCAGGACACTTGGAATACATTGGACGAGCAGTATGGAGGAATATTGAAACGTTTTTTGTGGACTTTTATGGACTTTTCTGCCTCGGGCGCTGGGCACCTCCATTATTTGAATGTCAGCAGACAGCAAGAAGCCTCCCAGATCTCCAGATGCATTTGAGATATCAAAAAAGTACTCCAGGGTGTTGTTCAGCATGGGGGTGAGTAGAAAATGAAGGCTAATCATGTTTTGGGTGTACTATTCCTTTAAATCACCTGCTGGATGGTAAGAAAAATGGCCGTTCCAAGAGGACAGTGATTCCAAACAGTCGTCAAAACTGCTTTTGTAATGGATAAAGCTGGCCGACGTCAGCTCTGTTGAATGAACCTGACCTTAGTCCTAACCAATATGGCTGAAATGTTCAATAAAGCAGCTTTATTAAGAAAAACTAAAATTAAAGCTTTATTCATTAATTAAAAAAGCTACAATAACTTCATGCCAGCAAAGCAGTTCTTCATAAGCTTATGGAAATCTGTCTAATTAGCCAAGTTTTGACTAAAATGAAATACCTAACAACATCAATTCCTCTCTGTGTTGTGTCATACTTCTACCTCTGGTAGATTAAAAGTTGTGGATCACTTATTGAATAATCTTAGAAATGCTACTGAGCCTAATAGAAAAAAAAAAACCTCTTCCACAAGTCTTATAACACTGGGAATATAAAATTGTGGGTCATTTTTTTAATGGGACATTCCTCTACATGCATGAAAAGGCTCAAATTAAGCGTGATGATTTTCAGAGACTTTCAGCATAAGATTCTTTAATAAATGCTGAGTGTTTTTCAAGGGTTTTTAAACATATTCGACCTGGTTGCTAATAACTGTGGAAAAGGCTGTAAAACAGGATTAATAAAAGACTGATATTGGCTTCTTAACCTGCTGCAAACATACTGCAAAATGCTTTCGGTACAACTTTATTTCATTAATTGGTCTGAGGACTCGTTACACCGATATGACAATGACCTACAGAGAACTGCGACTGAATTATACTCAACAACCAGAACATACAAAAATGTTGAGAATAAATGTTGAAGTTATTCTCAGGCTGCACTGTGGAAATGTGCTACAGCTTGAGGTTATTTCTGTTTCCCATTTTTTATATTCCAGGTTGAAATAAAGAGACATAATGTAAGTTTTTTTACTGAAAATATCTTTAAAACAGCCTTTTTATTTGAACCTTTGCGACTAAAACATCGTTTGCAGACTGGCAGCTCATTAGTTCTGATGCATCTATAAGCCAGTAGCCTATCTTCACTAAACATACTTTGGAAGTTCCTGCACTGTTCAGCGGATATGATTTCAATTTGGTATAATCTAGCAAACAATTCAAAGTTACTTTCAAGATCTACGTAGATAATCAAAAGCAACCGGTATAAAGCTTAACTCAGTCACTAATGGCAATTCTATGTAGGTTGAAAAAAAAGGAAAAAGAAAAACAAAACTCATTTACGAGCTCGCTACAATAACAAGCTGAAGAGTGCTGCAGTTCTGTGTTTTGGCCACAGGTGGCAGTATCATGAGAAAACTCTGTAATGCCTCTTAAAGGGATAGTTCGGTATTTTTGACATGAATCTGTATGGCATCCCCATCACCAGTGGCATGCAATCACACTGACTTACCCCTGGCAGCGTCCTGTGAGCAGAGTTATCGTCCAGTTTTGGTCAAGCCGAAAGTAGTCCGGCAGGTTTTTAGGACCAGCGAAATAAATCTCGGTCCGCCCAGCTAGGAGCTAGGCGGAGGGAGACATGCATCTGGCTGTTGTTGAGCTCGCTGTCTGAATGACGGCGCACAGTGATACGAACAGAGAGAAAATAGGACCAATTGATAACGACGTGTGACTTTTTCCACTACAACGTTTTTGGGATGCAAAAATATCACTCTTTTGAACACATAATGTTTTGGGAAGAGAAAAGTTTTATTTCGCTGGTCCTAAAAACCTGCCGGACTACTTTCGGCTTGACCAAAACTGGACGATAACTCTGCTCACAGGACGCTGCCAGGGGTAAGTCAGTGTGATTGCATGCCACTGGTGATGGGGATGCCATACAGATTCATGTCAAAAATACCGAACTATCCCTTTAAATGGAGCTTCTTACATGCATGTTGTGAAATCAGGATCTGTGGAGCGAAAACTGTTACATTATTGTTGCAAGCAAAAGACACTTTGTGTAAATAAAAAATACAATCCAGAAATTAATGTTTGAAAAACGTATTCATTGAAAAAAAAAAAAGGTTTTAATAATCACTGTAACTATTTTTTGTATTTATTTATTTTTTGTTTTATTCACTTTTGGTGATGATCATTCTGCTAAAAAAGAGGAGTGAAGATGTATTTCTGCTTGGAGATTAGCAGCAACATTTTTTATTTGTTTGTTTAGGTTTAAAGCAAAGACAATTTGATCTGTAAAACATAATGTGGAAAGAATGCAGTTTAAAAATCACATTAACTAGAAAAATAACAAGTTATCAAAATAAAATTTAAAAAATATAATAATTTGAAACAAATATACCGTAATAAAAAAACCAGCAGAATCACTCTCAGAAGCATGCTTTTAATTGAAAAGTTTTAATTGTAGTTTATTTAAATTTTTGAAGTGTTTATTGTAATATTTCTATTTCATTTGCTTGCAACAATAAGGGAACAACATTTACTCCTTATGTATTCATAAGGAGCATGCAACCCCAAGTGTTTTTAGATAGCATACAAAACATACCTGACTGTTATACAATGAGGTTTGCATGCAATAGACTAACCGTGTGGAGGACGCCGGCTCAGTGGTTTGTCTCTGCATGCGTTGCGTGCGACGTAGGAAGTGCTCCCTCATAGAGAGCTGCACGTCAGCAGGGATGTCAGGGGAGGTACGGCTTATCTTCACCGCAGCCTCAAGGAAGCCCATCGAACCCACGGGGTCCTTCACCTTCTCTGTCGCCATGGTGACCACCGGATGCTGGGGACTGGGCGGAGGAAGGGATTGCTGGTGCGGACAGTGCTCCAGGTCACCGGACGGGCTGAGAGATGGGCTTGGGAACTGAGCCTTGCTCCTCCAAGGCACCCAGCAGAGCTTCCAGGAGACTAATGTGAGAAGACCCAGCAGAGCGAGGCCACAAACAAGAAAGACGGCGAGCGCGAGGCCAAAAGTAGCGTCTGGTGGTGAGCCGCAGGGACCAGAAGCAGAAGATCACACAATATGGACAAACAGATGGTGATTCCAAGGGTGAGAGATGATAAACAGAGAGAGAGAGAGAGAGAGAGAGTCTATTAGAACATGGTTTTTGTTACAGTCTGCTGCTGCATCAGTGGTTTCTATACAACACTGAGGGCATTAAGTACAATGAGAGATGTGCCTCAATTATATTTAAAACAAATAAGCATTACTCATTTAGCCAAACGAAACTGAATGTAAACATTTAAATCCAAGATTATTTCCCAACAGCCGCAATTTTCTATTTAATGTTATTGGCTGCAGATGTAATATTCCAAATGTGACAAATTATTAATAAAAACAAACAAATTCAGGATTTGGATTAAAATAACTCAATAAACCAATAATCCAGCAAGAGCTCTGGTATTTTTAGAGATGAGGCATAAATAAATAAATAAAAGATTGGTTGGATTCATTTATTTTCTGCTCTATGAGAATCCTTCATATGAGAAACACAATAAGAGCTGGATATATACCAAGGATGCTGTCAAACACCCTGCAGGGATTTACAACGAGCGAAGGACAAAATCCACAGGGAAGTGTACTCAGACTACGAGTGCTGCCTCTTCTCTTTTAAATGAATATTACACTCAGCACCTGTGGCTTAGAGTGCCTTCTTCTCACGCTCTTCACAAGGGATTAAACTCTTTCGACAAATACTGACTTGTGTTGCTTTTTGATTGTTCAGATTTGATATGCAATCACATGCAGAAGAGAGTTTAAGTGGCCTCTCGTAGAAATCTTGAAATTCTTTTTACAAAATACACAAGAGAAAGAGCAAAAAGCTGCACAGAGGCATGTGGAAATAGCTCAGACTTGACCTTTTCTCACTAAAACACAACTACGAGCTTTGACATGAGTAGAAACCTGCTGTTTGTGTTCTTCCAGGTTAGATCATGTTTGCTGTGCAGCGTGCCAGGTAGTTCTTGGGAAGAATCATGTAAACATTGAATGAAGGGGGTCCTTTGGCCATTTTCTGACTGAACCTATGATTAACTCATTAAAATATTTGTGCATATGTTTGTTTGTTTCATCGCCTTGTTGGTTTAAACTCAACTTGGTGGACCTGGATTTTACCAAGTAAGTAATGGTGCTTTAATGTGGAAAGAAAAACAGTGGCTCAGTGTCTTGGGGTCTGATGGCTCCACCGGAGATAACAAATGCAGTAAGCATCATGTTCAACACTCCAAAACCCTTGTTTCAGCTGCTTTTACACCATTCCAATATCTCTCATGTTATATGATGCACTTTTGTGTAGATTAATGCAAACCAAAAACTAAATATTGAAAAAGAAAACCAGCATTTTTTTTTATTCTGTTATAGAAAGCAATAACATACTCAGACCTCATACGCAGAACCTTGAAAGGAATAACTGTCAGGAAATACACAAACCAGCCAGTAAGACATGATTATAATTATTTTTAATTCATTTACAAAAATGGTCTTTATATTATCAACTTGGACAATAAAAGAGGCAAAATTACAAAAATTCTACTTAGATAGCCATGCTACCTTTGCATCAAAATACCTTGCAGGAGACAGCAGGAAGAAAGCATGCCAAGAACTACTGAGTGCTACACTGGAAAAAAAATCAAAATCTAGATAAGTCATTTTTTTCTTAAAATAAATGCATTTGTTCTTGGATTAAGGAGGTAAAAGAGACATTTTGCCAATGGAACAAGGCAATTTACACTTAAAATAAGACAAAACACAATTCCATTGTCTTATTTCAAGTGCATATCATCTAATTAACTTATTTTAAGAGGAAAAATACTCATTCAATTGGCAAACTATCTAATTTACCTACTCAAATTAAGGGTAAACACACTTAATTAAATAAAATTTGCACTTATTTCTAGATAATTTTTCCAGTGCCAGCTAGCCTCAACTCCGCGTATGGACCCACCAGGGTGACTATAATTCAACTAGTTTTGTGGGATCTTTAGCAATATTGAGGAATGGAAAACCATTTACTGATGGCGAGTATGCTAAAACGTTCATGCTGGATGTAGCCTATGAACTTAGTATACTTAAGTATGGATTTTGGTATACGTCTATTTTGCCCCCCGCAGACAAAATTCCACCAGCCGCCACTGGTTTATAATAATCATAGCCAAGTCATAATAATGAAAGACTCAGGCTTATTTACAGGGCAAAAATGTCTGTTTGGACAGATGACAATAGGACTTTGCAAATTAAATTATTTAACCTTACTTCATAAATCTAAACATAAATAATGTTGTGTAAAGTGTAAAAGAAAGCTTTGTTTCCCTTTGATTTTCTAGTGATGTGGAAATGCAATGCCTTAAGATGAAGACGCATAAATGAGTTATAAAGGTAACTCATTTAAATATTACATTAAACTACTTTAGAATTTTTTCCATCACAATTTGCTCAAGATTTATGGGATTCATTGTGTAGAATTCAAGCTAATTAGAAAGTCCTTTAAGGGAGCTTTTTGGTTTAGTCAATCAACAGACAGGATTTCGAGCCTAAGCGATTTATCCTTGAGGAGGATTTCTCTGCTATCCAAGGCTCTGGCCTCCACTTGTCATGAGGAATTTTACACAGCTCTCCACAAAGCTTCATCTGGACCGGACTGTCGCTTGCAGTCTTCATCTTCGGTCACGGCAAATCGAAGCTGATCCCAGGCTGCGCTCTCAGAGATGCTGCTGTATGTCTCAGTGTTTCACTACAAAAATGTGTTGACGGCTCTTCAGCATGTAGTTCCTTCTAGTTTTACTGCTGTTCTACTACAAAAATCTCTTTGACACATATCCTGTGAGACACTGAACGGTGTACGACAGAAAAGAACAGAAAAACAACCCGAAACCCTGATTTATAACGAGCAGTTCTGAATGTCAGTCATGGTGGATTTGTTAATGCATTTAATCGCACCTGCTTTGCTTCATGTTTACATGTGAACTGTTTACACAACTTGAAGCTGACGTGATCAAAGCCTGCTGAACTGGCAGTAAACTTCTGAAATCCCTGCTTTGCACTGGATGTACAGACAGCCTTCACTTGATTATTGTGTCACAGAACCAACATAATGGTTCTTATGCATGTCTGCTCTGCTCTAACAGGCTCAGTGGCCGTCCAGGTCCCACTGAATGGGAAGGTGTCAAAAATGCATTTGAGTCTGAACTTTGATGCTGACAGTGATAATAACACTCTTTTCGCTGGTCCTTCTCCACTCACATAGCAACTCAGGGTGAACCACAGTGTGAAAATTGCTGTGGCCCAGGAAATAAAGACTGTGTGAACAGACTGCTAGACGAATTATATTAATACCTGTATGATTGTTTACCTACTTTGACCTTAAGACATTTATCATCAGATATATAAGTTCTACAGATGTTAATAAAATGTATATTATTGTTCGTTGCAACTAACACATGTGAATAAAATAAAATATTGTTAAAATACAATATATTTTCATCACTTTTGTAACTTTACCACCACAAATGACTTAAAGCTACAGTGTGTAATAATTACAGGGATATAAAGTCAGAAATTTAATATATTATACATAACTATGTTATTTATCATCACCTATGAGCTCAGCCTCTTAACCTTAATATTTGCGTTGCCTTAGAATTCGTTATTTATAATTACATAGGAGCGGGTCTCGCAGCCATGGAGGCTGACATCTTTGCGCTACGGCAGCGCAGAGCCAACAAACTAGTGATTGCGAGATCTCCCATGACGCTCGAAAATAACTACGGCAAGTTAAGAGAGATGAACTGAGACGGTACTGAACAGTAGATGGCAGTATTATGCTTGAGAAGCGTTTAGTCTGCCTGAAACCAAAGAAGAAGAAGAAGCAGGTATACTGCGCCTCAGTAACAAGAAAGGTGAACAAGGCGGCAGGCGTGAGTGACTTTGCAAACTGTTTGGCACTGTGTGGCCAAACATCAGACGAATGGAGGATCATGCCTACTCTGTATCACAACGAAAAGCGGCGCACACCGAACCCCCGTCATCTAAGAAGCGGAAACACGACGAGAATAAACGCAAGCATGACAAGAAACGACAAAAAACACGGATCAACATTGGCACGGTATTTACACGATGGAAGTCACTGATGGAGGAAAAAGGTTTTCAAAGTGACGCTCAAGTTGCCAGTTTTCTCTTGGACAGGTAATTAATCCTACACACACAATTGTCTAATATCACTGCAGTTTTTGGAGTACAGGATGCTCAGACCTGTCTAAAACAATAACATGCTGCGTGATGATGCTGTTACTCTCCAGTATACTTATTCAGCAACGTCCCTGACGTTTCACAGGTAATGATTCAGTAATTTTCTGTAAAATAATTTTCTGGATATATACCTCGGTTACTTCTCTCCGGCTCCTTTGGAGATCTTCAAGCCTTTCTTCCTCTGCTCTCACCCCGCTGGCACCCCTCCCTCGCCTGGCCCTAGCTGCACGCCCACCCCGGCTTCTCTGCCCTCTCCCTCTTCCTCGCCTTGTAACCCCCGTGCCACAAACAAGACTTGGACTCTGTAAACGGGGAATATATATTCTTCCAGCGAACACAATCTCGCTGTTAAACTAATGACTACAATTACTTAGTCTGTTTATATCACCATGCAAAGCAGCTCACCAAAACGTCACAACGATGTAGAAAAAATAACGGGTATATTTATTATCTAAAGTCTACATGAAATCTATACCCTACACAGACTAATGAAATACTATCTGTAAAATTATCTATGTAAACAAACCTCATCACTTGAGAAGGTAGGTGATTCCGACGTCGTGGAAGACATTTTGTCCCCTAACGCTCGCCGTACTGTTGGGGGGGAGAAGCGGTGGGGGGGAGACGTTCATGTTGCTGCAGTCTGCAGTCTGGACGTTAGATGTCGCTGAAAATTACACACTGTAGCTTTAAAGATGCTGATATTTGGGTGAAATATGCTTTATAATAAATAAAA